CAAAAAAATGTACTCCTCCTCACCAAATATTTGTCTCCTGAAACACTAACCTAAAATTCATATTTTGTGAATATTTTTATAAAGCATAGTCTGTTACTTATAAAGCCAATTTTAAAATGTTTTAATTATAAGAGTAAAGAAAAAAAAGTGTTTAGAGGAGTCTCAAGCATAGAAATTTTTTTTAAATCCATTTAAAATCTCACCAGATTATTTTTAAATTCCTCAACATCTAGACTCCTAGTAATAACCACTTTTATTTCTTCCATATCTACCCATGGTTTATGTGCTACTTACACACTTAAAATTCATCACCTTGATAATGTGAATTTTTCTTCCACTTTAAGAAGGCCCTTGTTATTTCTCCCTCCTTTTCTTTGCCCCCAGAAGGATGTCTCATTAAGTAAAAGTTAAATATTGTATCTTTACACCTCATAATGTGTCTATATGCATGTATATACTATGTAATCTATTTTTAGTAGGACAGAATATAATTGTATAATAATAGCTAGCACAAATATCGCACTTGCTTTGAGCCAGGCATTCAGTGAAGACGGTACTATTAATAAATAACCCCACATCCAAATGATAAAATTGAGGTTCACAAATGTTAAATAGCCTACCAAAGGGCAAACATCTAGTAAATCATTTTCTTGGGAGTAAAACCCAGGTGATTTGGCTCTAGAGTGTATTCCTCAGCATTATGCTGCATTGGGTATGTTTCAGTATATCATCAGGTTTTCTTACAAAAACCAACCACCTTCTCTTTATTTGGGGGGAAATCAAGGTGAAATGAAGTGCATAGATTTTGAAATTAGACAGACATTGGGTTTAAATCCTGAATATAATTTTTAATAGCTTCAAACAGTGGGAATATTATTCAACTTTCTGAACATCTGTATATTCAGCTGCAAAACAGGGATTATTATACTTTATAAGGTGGTGGCAAAGATGAAATTAAACTATATAGATCGAGAGATAGAACCTGGCACTGTTTTGCCAATTACCTGAAATATTGCAGACAGCTAAGATCAGTGAGAAGAGATGAATTATTCAATAAATTATGTTTGATCAATGTCCTAATCAATTAAGGATTTAAAAAAATCATACTATACCAAAACTTTTAGGTGGATTAAAAATGCCCATATAGTTTTTAAAATACTAGAAGTAAAAGACTAAGACAATGACAAGATCATAAACATAAAAAGGAAAAGAACAATCCATCCATTTAACTAGATAAAAGCATAAAATGTTTATCAAAAGGCAAAATTTTTTAAATTACCTATGAGAGGGAAAGTTATACATAACATATTCAAGAGATAAAAATTTAATGTATTTAATTTGTGATGAGGTCTTTCAAATCCAAAAGGAAAAGACCAACTCCCAATTGAAAATAAAGAAAGCTCATGACTGACTACTTTACAAGAGAAGAAATTAAAATGATTCAGTCAATATATAAAAAGAGGCTCAATGTCAGCTAAAAAAATGTGAATTTAAAGGACCTCTTTTTCATATTTCAGATCACTGAAATTTAAAACCATAAATAATATCCAGTGTTGTAATGAGCAGTGGAAAATATTCTTTATCAAGCATTGTTTAGGACAATTGTAAACTGACCTAGCATTTTTGAAAGATGATATGGAAAAATACACCAAAATTTATCATACGCAACCTCATTTACACAGAAATCCCACTTCTAAGTATTTAGCCCAAGGAATCACAAAATGCTTTATGAAATAAGATTCACATTATGGCAATCTAATAATATAAAAACTAGAAAATAAATTAAATTACCATTAATATGGCACTTGTTCAATAAATATTTTATATGTATCTTTTTAAAACAATAAAGTAGAACTCTGCCATGGAAGATGCTCATAGTATATTAAGTAGAGACATAGATGGCTGAACAGTAGTTAAAAATATATGTTATGATACCATTTATATATGAAGATATATGCTTCATTATATATCCGTAAACAAAAATTACATATTCTTTTTACGTGTCTATTCTTTTAATTTCTAATGATGATAATTAGAAAAATAAATGTACTTCCATTTTGGAAAATTAATTATGAATTTAGTTTCTCTCTTGTTTATGTTGGGTTTAAGTGTATATGTACAAAAATTTTTAAGAAAAAGTTATGAGTTTAAATGTAACTCAGATTCTGAGGAGTTAGTGTAATATTTATCTCTTTACTGTTTATGTTTTGGTGTCAAAAGTTTATGTTGAACTATTTTAAGAAACTTCAAGTACTTTCATTAACCTACTCTAAAACTCCTTCCATGGGTGCCTAGGTGGCCCAGTCAGTTAAGCAGCTGACTCTTGATTTGGGCTCAGGTCAATATTTGAGGGTCCTGGGATGGAGCCCTGCAGCTGGCTCCGCGCTCAGCGTGGCGTCTGCTTGAGATTCTCTCTTTCCCTCTGTCCCTTTCCCCGCTCTCTCTCTCAACTAAATAAATCTTTTTTAAAAATAAAAATAAAAACAATAGTAGTCCTTCCAACCAGAACTGTCATTTTGCTTGTGCTATAACCATACAAATGAAGAGGCAGAAAATGTTCTAGCTTTTCATATCCTAGAGTTTCTCTCAATCTCAATCTCTTCAAATTTAAAGTCTGCTTTGAAATTTTTGACTATATGTGTGTTTTGTGGTGAATACATATGTGTGTGCTTCTATATATCTTGTATGTGCAAAAGATATTAAGAGAGGATACTAAAAAATGCAATATGTAGAGTGCATTTAAAATGAAGCAAATATTTAAGTTTTATCATTTGCAGATAGTAGTATGGATGATAAAAAGGCTTTAATCACATGATTGCAACCACTGTAGGCTCAATGCAAACAGCAGCAGCATAGCCTCTAAAGTCAAGTTTATAGGGCAATTACATTTCTGAAATGCAGGATTCAATGTACTGTTAGACTGAAATTCAAATTTTGATAAATGGATTTCATGCAAAAATTGTTTGTTCTAAGATGTTACCAATTTAAAAATATGCTAAAGCTTAGTTTTATACTAAAGCACCATAAAACTTTGTTTCTCCTAACTGCTTCATTTCTTCTCCAAATTGGAAAAGTCAACTGTAAGTGTACAGAAAAAGAAAATACATGCATGGTCTGCAAAAGGGCTAAACTCAGTCTAACAGGCATAACACTGAAAACTGAAAAAACATGTTAGCTTTTTAGTTTATTGTTATCATTTACTTTTTTGGTTGCATGAAAAGTTTAGAAGTCTTAAAGAAGTATGGAATAGTTACATTTTTCCTATCTTGCTTTTTTAACATTTAATTTCTTTCTGCATTTTCTTCCCATTTGCTTTTTTATTGAGTTTACAAAAGATAAAAGAAGTAAATGAGGGTCTGTAAAATGATTAAATGGGTCAAAGAGGAATGTATTTCTCTGGTTCTTTTATTTTTTTTCTTTTGTTTTCTTGTTTTTTAGAGTTAAATATTATCTTTGAAAGGTAGGAGTACTATTGTTTTATTTTTGTTTTGTTTTGTTTTGTTTTTTGGAGGAAGTAGGAGAAAAGGAGAAGATAACCCTGACTTAGGGAAATAGTTATAAGTTTGTGTTGAACAAGATTCTATTTTACTTCTGTGAATAATCTATTTTGTCTGGGGTATGTACAAACATACATATAGTAATGTGGGGTAAGAAGCCTATGTATTAGAAAGAAAGAAAAACAAGCCTTCTGTCAGAAATCAGAGAGGAATAAGACCATGGAAATAATCCAGGCTAAATAAAAAGATAAATGTCATTCAATAAGAACATGCATATTTTGATATTGATATATAATAAGATTTTATATTTCTTGATTTTATGTAGAACCGAAGAATGAGTTTACCCAAAACAAAAAAAAACCTCATGTTGCAATTTATCTTTTCTCTGGAAAATGTTTTTAAGGGTCCAAAACAGCTAACATGTGATTTCCTTACAAATTATATTTTATAAATACCGCTATCCTGAGCTGCCTTAAACAATTTCTGGAACAAGGTGGGGTACTCATAAATAAAGTAATTCACTATTTAACTTAGTAAACTTAAATTGCATAGGCCTCTTAAGAGTTCATATTTTTAAAAAATGTCCTTTACTATTCACTCACGCACGTACAAAATGAACTCAATCATTACGTATATATGCTTATTCCCATGGTGAGACCAAACAAATAGGAAGACATTCCAACAGCAAACTGTTTCTTAGGGTTTGATTTTTTAAAGGACTGATTCACCATGACCACAATAAGTATATGTATTTGTAAGAGATAATTTAAATTCTGAGTCTTTTTATTTGATATTTATCATAAGTAAGTCAGACACATATGCTTAGCAGTGGCACTTGTAGATGTAGAAGAAAATAGTACTTAGTAGAACAAAAGAGTTAAATATTAATTGTTGAAATATCAAAGTATAAGATAGGAAGGGCATATTTATGTACCCATGAAAACATCATTTGTTTCTGAGTAACAAAGAAATGATGGAGTGAATCAGTAAGTGGCAAAATAAATAAAAGAAACCATGAAATGCCTACAAAAATGCATTCATGAAATGAACTTTCTTCTTTAACAGCAAACTTCTTGAACAGCATTTTTTGCACATTTCAGAGCACATCTGCATTTTTTCCCACCACCCCCCAAATGACACTCTGTTATCCTATGTTATTCACTGAAACCAAAAAGCAAACAGAAAATTTAATAGGGTGAATTGCTACAAACTGACCCAGGACGCTTATTACATATTTAGATTCCCAGGTTCCACTTACACCTATTGAACCTTAGTCTCTATAGGAAGTTTCTTGCAATTGGGTAAGATTTGCAAGCATGCAGTATGTTATAAAAACATGCAATAAATTATAAAAAGTCACCCATGCTGATTAACGGCCCCCCTTCTAAGAGTTGAGAAAAAGAGGGAACAGGTCTGACTCAGTTATGTTTAACTGTTTGGTCCAGTGTAGAATGGGAGAAAATGTTCAAAGTTTCTGTTTTAATGTCCGAATAATGTACTTACTACAGTTTTCAGCTTTCCTATTGTCCCGGATCACTATTCTTTGGTTGATAGTGCTGAAGAGTGTTGTCCAATTAATGGTATGATAGTAACATAGGTTGCTGTTGTCAGTAATATAGATGTTTCCTGCACTGATTTCCTTCAGAGATTGGAATTGTAGAGAAGTGATGCCCTGTTGCTTAAGGATAAGCAAGGAGAGGCCACTAAAGAGAAGGAAGGGGGGAAAATGGAACAATATTTAATATGTATATATTATTAAATATTTTCTGGCACATATTCTTGAAGTAAAATAAGGATGTCACATCTTACTCCAAAAAGAATGCTAATAGAGCATATAAAAAGAGACTGAGTCAATAAATTGTGATCTGAATATTTCTCTACATGCTATATATACTGAGTTTTAAAAGGAATCATTTGACCCCCCAAAAAGAAAATGTTCATTTTTAGAAGTATAAATATTAATGATATCTCCATTTCTGTGTACATATTTACCACTGACATATCTGCTCACTATTTTTCCCACTATCCCCCAAGTCTCAAGTTCCTTAAGGATGAAATTCTGTTTTAAAACTAAATAATTAGGGGAATCTGGCTGGCTCAGTTGGAGGAGCATGAGGCTCTTGATCCCAGGGTCATGGGTATGAGCCCCATGTTGAGTGTAAAGATTACTTAAATAAATAAAACTTTAAATAGCTAAATAATTCATAGCACTCACCATACATAGCACATACCCTCACCAATGTCAATCACCCAGCCACCCCAATGAATCATGGAACACTACATCAAAAACTAATGATGTAATGTATGGTGATTAACATAACATAATAAAATAAAATAAAAAAAAGCTAAATAATTAATAAATGTTTATGGAATGATTATTCATCTACCTAAAGTAAGACAGTAATTCTACTCTATTTAATAAATTTAGACATACTTTCAGGGGTAAATATTACAGAGAATGACTACAGATATTTAGCTTTAATTTATACCTCAGAAACCAAAGTGTAATTGTAATAGTTGAAGAATGTATAAGTAAAGATAGGAGACATTAAAAATTAAAGAGAAGAATGAAATTAAGCTAAAAATTAAAAAAAAATACTCAGAAGGCTTGGACAACTGGGGAAAGCATCTCTAAAAGTTAAATAACTATACTGTGGAAACAAATTATCACTCCAAGGAAATTGTTTTTATTTTAACATAGTCTACATTTTGTAATTAAATTCCTTTTCTATTCTCTAAAGAATCATCTGTTTCCCACATTTCAATCAACTAATGAACAGTATTTTACATTTTGGAGATCAAAGCTGTCCCGTTGTATTTTATTTATAAATCTAAATATACTTTGCTGCCAACACTCAGAATTTTTTCCATGTGCTGTGTGTGTGTGTGTGTGTGTGTGTGTATATATATACACACACATATATATATACACACAGATACATATAAATACTCATATATATGTATACACACACATACAGCTACATATATACTTATATACATACATATACATACATACATATTAAAACTCTATATGAAACTCAGTACATGTGTATTCAACTGAGATGTAATTCATTCTCTGAAATCTGTGTTCCCATCGTAACCATCTTGAGTTTATCACAATGTGAACATAATAATGCTTGACAGATTTTTAACATTTGATTCAATGGATAGTAAAATTTGGTTGCATGTAGAACTTGACAGACTGTATCTCTCAACTATGCCTTTTTATTAAGAAATTTTCCCCTTTACAGTTTAAAACCTCTTACAGATATACCTGTTTTAATCGCAAAATTCAGTGGACTTTCTGTGAAATATTATTATGGAATATTTGATGATAATATTGATTTAAGGCATCTTTCAGATTTAAGTAGAAAAAATGAAATCTAAATCCCTTTATGTAAATCAACTTTTAGCTGTTCATAAATAAGAATCTCATACAGATGAAATCTAAAATAAAATAAAACAGTGGCTTAATAAATATTAACACACATTTTTATTATGTGAATTAAAATATTGATATTATACTTTTAGTGTGCTTCTGAGCCCTGATTTTTCTGCCCACTATTAGCCAGCATTTAACGAAGAGTAGTAGACCAAGTCCTGAAATATCAGTCCCATTATGCGTGGTTCAAATGATGGCACCAGAGACAAGAACCTTCTGGTAAAACAGCATTTGTATCCCACACACCTAAGCCATTATCAAGTCATCCCATGTTAGTTGTTAGTTACGATAACATTATGTTCAAAAACAAAGGCTTGATTTTATGCGCTCCATATATGCAAAACACTAAAACTGCTTTAAGTGAGAGGCAGTTGAAAAATCAAACTGTTTATTCTGCATACTTTACTTATTTATTTATTTTGTATCCTGCATACTTTAAAGCACAACCAGGGGTATGTTTCATTGGGCTTACCTTTGGAATTAAAAATGGAAACCCAGTATTTCTTGAATCAGTGAAGTTGAAACTTTGAGATATGTACACATGACACTAGTCTTGAAATCTGGAAGACCTGCATCTCTGAACATATACACCTACCTATAGAGTACTCTTCCACCAATGGTCACCAGGTTAGAAAAAACACTGAAGTCGGTCATGTTTGGGGGCCATGACTGTATGTTCAAGAAACCTAAAAAAGACAAGGGCAGTAAAAACACTCAGAATATCATTACCTTAGTAACTGTGTTTAATGCTGAGTATCCTTGAAATATGATGAAAATGTCTTAAAAGATAGGAGGTAAAAAAAGACACTGAATATTCCTATTTCAAGTCATTCTATTCTATCTCATAGTTCTTCTTCCAAGATTGAGTGTCTTACCCAAAATTCCTGGGCCACAATACTCAATAGATAATGAATACCAAAGTAATGAATACCAAAAATCTAGGTTTCTCAGACACAGAATCATAGAACCATATATGTAAAAAGAATTAAATGATCCTTAATTTGATTCATTCTTCTAAAAATCAAAACTACTTAGTCTAATTATGTAAAGAGAAAAATATAGCTTTAATTTTTCTGGAAATCCTTTACTACTGTATCTCTACACTTATGACATCATTTGTCTGCCTTGCAGCCTAATGCATTCATATATATACCTAACCTTTCTCATTTGATTTTTCATTCTTCAATAGCAAATCCATATCCAATTCATGTCTATGAGTCCCTTATCAGCTACTATATAACAGCCCTGAACATATTAGGTGCTCAATAAATATGTGCCAAATGAGTGTCACATGTTATCCATGCTCAACAGTACTTCTTGTGAAAAAGTACATAGAAAAACATGGATCAAAAGATCAGTTGACACACACAAAAAAACATAAAAATGTTAAGGATATTTTATTTTATAAATTCCATGGGCTTTCAAAATGTGCACAAATGATAAGGAATAAAGACACCCATCATTTAAAGTGACATGCATTTTTAAAATTAGAATTTGCTTTGAAAATAAGTTGCTGATTTCAATATTATGTAATATTTTCAGGAAAACACTAAAATTCACATAGTTCATAGGACAACAAACGCACTTTTTAAAAAAATTACCTGTTATCTCTCGAACTGTCCGGAAGACATTCAGTTTCTCTGGGTCTATGGCTTCAATTGCATTGTAAGGGTCCCTAGAGAATCAAGAAGAGATGCAGCCAAATTTTAAATCAGATAAAGTGAAAACATAAGATATGTTACTATAGTTAGTTCATTCAAATTGAATTTTAAGTAGCAATGGAAAGATTAGTAATGCCTTGTCCAAAGTTTGTTATGCTACATGTGAAGGAGAATTAAAAGGTGCTTTGAGGACATTTATGATGATATCAAATATGAGTTCTTCTTTGAAGGTTATTCTAATTCTAGAGGAATGGTCCAGTTTGACTATCCGAAAGAAATCCCCAAACATAACAAATCTGTTTATAAATAATTTTATTTTATTTTGCCTTTAAAGTTTTTTTTTTAATTGGGAAAAGTATACTCTGCAAATAATTATGGTGAGAACAATTGCCTTTTGGGCTCCTCAAAGCATCCTAAAGTGCTAATAGCACCTACAATTTCATAAGATGGATAAAAAGAAGCACATGAAATCATTTTTTACTTTTTTACTATATCCTTACATTTATTAGTAAATTTTCATAACATTGTATGAAAGTTACTCTTCATAAGGATTATTTAGAGCAATCTTGTTCCTATCTGGTTTATTTATATTTGCTTTTAAAGCACAGGAAATATTCTTCCATCTTTATGAATCATACTAACAACTGAAACAAAATTTATAACAAACTTAATATCCAAAAGGTGTAAATTTTGGAGATTTAAAAAAATGTCATCTCCTAAAGCATAAATATATTTTTGTAATTAATGTTATTGATATATAGATGCCCTATCTTTTCAAAAATGAACATAAATTACCTTTTAAAATTAAATATTTATTGGATTTTTCAGAAGTTTTCTTCTTAGGAAGATACCTTTCATGTATAATATACTGACCATACCAAATAACTGCATACTTGCAAATAATACCAAACATTTCTCAGTAATTCAAGCAATTTTAAGGAATAAAATTTTTATTTTATTCCTTTTTAAGGAATATTTTAAGGAATACCTCTTTTCAGCTATTTTAGGAACACCTTTCTTTTCTTTTAAGTTTTATTACTTTGAAAGATGACCTGTGCTATCCTGGGCAAATAGAGACCTCATATCAATATATACCCTATAGAGAAAAATTAAATACTATTCATTGACCACTTCTCCAAGAGAGAGCAAACCTAAGAACAACGAACTTAGGGTTTTTTAGAAGCATGTATCCATCTGTAGCAATCACCTGAGCTTTATTATTGCTGTGGACATCTGTTGTTTTACATCTTTGAGAACCTTCTTTTTCACTTGGGGAGTAAACAATAGGATACTGTGATACATTAGATGTGGCCTTAATAGGGCTATCAATCAAGGTGTTCCACAGCCCTCTGACAAACAGAAAGGCATAAGGCCTGTCTTCTAAAATTTGAGTCTGAACCCATTGACATTAATTCATCCTTGCCCTAGAACCTTGAAAACACTATTAGTTCCAACAACCTTAATCTTTGGAACTCCATTTTACTGGCTCTCTCAACTTGGTTTATCCGCATATGCTTCTATACAGTGAACCATCCTGTATCTTAAAAAATACAAAAAACAAAAAACAAAACAAAACAACAACAAAAACTCTGCTTGATTAAATACTGTTTCAATCTATGAAGTATAATTGATACAATGTACCACTAATTTAACAGGGAGTGTTTTAGAAGGCTTAGAGAAACACTATAAATGAGTTTCCCCATAATTCACACATAATTAAGATTTTCCTCAATGTGATATGAATGTCTCTCAAAAGCTTAAAGTCTAAATTAATGTTCTGGCAAACTTGCTCTATTTATAACTGATACATAGAATGAAATACTATGCTTTTGATGAACATGAAGCCAAGAAATTAAGTTCACCATGCGGGCAAAATCTTGTTATCATTTTTTAATGTGCAAAGACTTTTGTATGCAGAGAAAATATCAGCTCTGCAGTAGTAGAATGAGCTTTCAACATTTGTTGTTTGATGAAAAGCAGTGTATAGAACAGCTCTGGTCATATAATCAAATATCTTGGCTATGGAGAAACACTCACAATTCAGGGCAAGCACACAATAATAGGGTCAGTCTAAACCTTTACTGAGAACACTTCCAAGTTTCCAGGAAAGAAATGAATTCTGGACTGTTCATATGAAGCCCAATGGACCACAGAAATTTTATATACTAAATTTTAGAGATTCAGGATTCTCATAAAATAAGTTGACAGAATCTTACTTACCAACTTCAAAGTACCTGCAGGGAGTTGCATCCTATAGCCACTTAAAATCCACAGTACTTTAAAATTGAAAACTTCCCTAGCTAAATACAGAGCCATGTGAAAGAACTTTATGTCCACCCTGTCATTGTGTTTGGTGATCCAAATAAAGCTCAGGAGAGAGAGAAACCTATTTTTATAATTCCATTGAAATCGCTTTATTTTTCACCAAACCCATTAGCTCTTTTCCATTGTATATCATCATTACACTCTCTTATCTAAGCACTTTCTTGTCTGTGTCTCACTGCGACACAGCATGAACATGCTTATTGGGTGAGCATTTTGTTACTCTAAGTACATGCACATGACTATTATCAAACATGAGTAGAGGTGAAAGGTGAACATTCCTATGAATAACCCTGAACACAGGTTTGCCTGTGGTTCCCATTCTAAATAAAGAACTAAGAGTGCCTTCTGGCAATGACACCATTGTGCTATAAACTGAACATGACAATTAACTTTGTTGAGTTCTTTTATATATTAAAATTGTAATTGACAAATTTACAGTAAGTTTATTTTTTGCAGAAACTTGTTTTTGAAAAGTATTATCTCATCTAATTATGAATTTTACCTATTAGCTTAAAGAAATACCTTAGCTATTTTACTCAAACCATACATCCTATTAAAAAATAGAAGATCGAGGGTAATGGGAATAAGTGAAGTAAAACATGTCTTTAATTTACTAGACGTTTTTTGCTTGTAATACTTCATGCTAGTCACACTTAAAATCTCTCTCTTCATACATGCATGAATTGTATACATGAATACACATAATGCCTAAGCATTTATAAGATGTCTTAGACTTACTGAATTAACTTTTTATCAAAACTTTCCTAAGATCAAGAGAAAGGCTTCAGAATATATATTTTATACTGGTATAAAATTGGGAATGAGAAATATCATATATAACATATATATTTGTCCTGGAAAATGCCTTATATATTATGGTTGAGACACAATAACATTAATTATAATGTTAGTATTAAAATATTCCAAGTTAAGTGCTATGATTAAGAAGAAATAATCTTCTGGACTAAGGAAGGAGTATGACTTATCATAAAGGAAATACTGCCATGAAAATAACTTTGCCTTTATTTGGTTTTCAGTAGTCTACAAAATAGTATCTATTATACTGCATGTTGTGCTATAACTAGATATAGTCATTGAGATTTTTCTTTAGCACTGTCTCCTCCTTCTTTGCTTTTTTTAAATGCACACACTCCCTTTTTCCCTCCCTCCTTTTCTCCCCCTGCCTCTTTATTTTTTTTTGTACCATTTATTAATGTTTCACAATATGCCAGGTACTTGGCTGAGCACTCAAAAATAATTTTTTGTTTTTAATCCCCATAATAATCAGAGAAGGTAGGTCTTTATTATAAACTCAATTCTCAACTTTACACTGGAAGAAACTGAGCATTTGACATATAATGGAAATTGTCTATGTTAGAGCCTCAAATCAAACTCTAGTATAGTCTGGATCAAATTACTGAAGTAGGAACTTTAACTCTTACTTTCTGAGCTCATGTTTAAGAGAGGCTTTGTTTACCTTTCTGTTTCTAATTATGTGAGTCAATTTTCTATAATTCATTTCCACCTGAGTGAATTGGCAAGGTTGTTTTCCTTGAAAGTCTGGATTAATCTAATACTTTGTAATGATTCTTCTCATAAATTTGTGAATATATGGTGTCTATTATACAATGGATTATTATATCTTGACATATCTGCTTCCCTTTTTTGCATTTATTTATTGATATTTCCTCTATTCTGGACATTAGGTGATTCAGAATATGTAAAACCATTTTACAATTAGTATAAATCCTGACTTTTGATAAATATGCTCCATAAGGAACCGAGACTAAAATAAGAATTCTGAACTGCACTTGATCATCTTTGTCAAACTTCCCCACCCATGGTTTACCTACAAGATTAACCATCAGTGGGTTGCTTTTGTTGGTTCATAATCCTTCTACTATCACAGAATTCTTGCAGTGGTTCTCAATGGGGGCAGTATTACCCCACTAAGGGGAAGCTGGGACATTTGCAGAGGCGTGTCAGTTGTAACACATATTGGGGGACATTATAGGCTTTCGTAATAACCCCAAGCCAAGAAAATTAAATGTCTTTCCCAGCAAAGGTTTGCCTCATGTCTTGAACAACCTTAAATGTCCCATCCAGTTAAGGACTCATGTGCACAAACTTCATAGTTGATCATACATGACTGGGTGTAATTCTGCAGTCAGGTTGCCTCTATTTGAATGATTTATTTCTGTCTTTCTCTTGTCATATAACAATATGTCTGTTACTTATTTCCTATTCCAGTGGTCAGCCATTCCTCTAGTCTTTATTTCCCCATACTTCTTGCACAGAATAACTTCTAATCTTACGTCTCACAAGTCCCAACTTTCATCATAAGTAAGTAGAAGCTGAGCATTTTCCTATCAATACATATTTTATTATCCATTACTTTTCTTGTATTTTTTCTTTAAGTTATAAATAGATAATTAGAATCACATTATAAAATTATGTATATAGGTAGGCTATATTATCTATGATTTTTATTTCATAATTCAAAAGGAAGTAGGAATACACTTAATTTATAAAAGATGGATGTTGGGTCTGATTAGAATGAAAACAACTTCTCTAATGCAATTTATGAGACTATGTTTTCAAATCTTTCCCCACACTGATGGACTTGAGGCCAATTCATTTATTATACCCACGTGGAAGCAGGCAATGTGAATTAAGTGGGTATGTCTTCCTATTTCTCAGAAGATGCTGTTACCATGATACGATCTTTCATTCATGGTGGTATTTGGTTTTGAAAATAGTTACAGTGTGGATATATTGTCTTAGTAAATGTTATATATGCATTCAATTATATAGATGCACCTAAATGTTGAGTCTCCTACCCTTTGGGGCGAAGGGGGTGAGAACAGCAACGTAAATAGATTTAGAGAGTTAGTAGTGACTCTGGTAAATTTGGTTGTCCTATCTCAAAATGGCTAGAACTCCCTGGCTCCAAAAGATTGTTGCCATGTAGGAGTATGTGCTAAGGGTAACCAAATCTACATATTTTTAAAGAGAAGTTAGAAATCTTGACCATATATTTATTTTTTAAGCACTGCTTGGGCGGAATAAAACAGATCTGGGGCAGAAAGTGTGCACATACCATTATGGGTATCTGGCATGAACCCATATTAAAAGCTACATTTTAAAGTAAAGAAATGCTTTATGCAATAAGACCTACCGTAATTTATTTGCATGGAAAGAAACACTTTGTTCTATTTCTCTTGCTGTTCCTATTTGGACATATTTATTCATAATGTGTTAAATTATTTTGCTTTTAGAAATGATGTGATATATGTTTCGAGTTAAGATTTTGAATTGAAATATGTGAGTAATATTCTTTATCTGTAGCCTGTAGCACTAATTTTTAGGGATTAAGAGTAATATAGATAAACAGATAAAATATAAAGTAAAAATATAGACATTTTTATTACAATTGAAAGAATACAAACTTCGTTGTTTTCCCAGTTAAAACCAGCAGGTGGTTCTGTAGTGAAGGAACCCAGAAAATGTTACAATTTTTATTGCTAAAATGAAATTCATTTATTAGATCTCCTATATTAGTACTAATTTCCTAACCTAAGTAAAAGAGAAAAAGACAGATACATCAGGCCAAAGAAAATTTCTGAAAGCTCAAGAGAATTTAACTTACTGATTTGTTCTCTACGAGATACATTTAAAAAGGAATATTAATTTATGTTTTCCTGAACTAAGCAGTTAGGAGTTTGAGTGAAATTCCTCACTTCACCCATTGACACTGTTTCCCTAAACATATCTAAAAATATGTCAAGCTTTCTGAAATCTGTGGATTTGAGGATATCCCACAAATACATTTTAGTTTATATATAAATTTATATTGTCACATCTAAGTAGTTATAAACTCATAGTCTATGTATCTCAAAACTGTGGTTTTTACTATCATTGCTGGCAAAATCTGCCATTTGATTTTGTTGGAGAAGAGCATGAACGAAGGGCAGAACTCATCTGGGTCAAAAGGAACCAAACAGACACAGCTAAAGAATCTCTAAAGCTTTGTCCATACTTCGTAAAATAATTTTCTACAAAAATTCTTCATACTGACCCATGAATACCAGTGACAAGGAAGATCAAATTCCCATTGATTTTGGTGCAGTTTATGAATTTGTCAATGTTACTGGAATCCACGGTCTGAGCTGACATCAGTGATCCTGTGCCAATACCATCACAAGCTGTAGAAATAAGACAAAGTCAGGGTGTTGAGAAACTTCTTTTCCAGTCAATAAATTATTGCATTTTTATTATAAAATAATAGTATTTTTTCATTATAAAAATGAAAAGAGTTCATCATAAGAAATAAACAGTTTTCTAACAAATAAAATAATACTTTATTCATGCAACATTGACTGCTGGGCCTGCTTTAAAATATTGCCCCTGCATGATCGTCTAGTGACCATGATGCATAAGAATCATATCTTATTATCAAGTCCCAGGATACTCACACAACACATACATAACTAAAACAAAACTTACAACAATCAATACTTGCCTTTGCCACGTAAAATCAACTATTTTCTCATCCACCCTAAAATATCATTTTCAATACTTTCAAATCCTGGTCACTTGAGTAAAATCATTTCATAGCCTAATGATGGTCTACAAACTATGGTTTTAAAAACATTGTTCTAATTATGAATATATATTGAACAAAGTACTAATGACGTGAGTTGTAACCAGAATCAAGAGCCATTTAAGTATTTAAATTTAAATTCTTTTTTTTTAATATTTATTTATTTGAGCAGGGCAGGGGGTGGGTGGGTTAGACAGCACGAGCCAGGGAGGGTCAGAGGGAGAAGAAGAGTGAGAGGCAGAGGGAGAAGCAGACTCCCTTCTGAGCACAGAGCCCAATGCAGGGCTCCATCCCAGGACCCTGAGATCATGACCTGCGCCTAAGGCAGACGCTTAACCGACTGAGCCACCCAGGCGCCCTCACACTTAAATTCTTAAATTGAGTATTACCTGTACTTTCTGAAGGCTCTACTCAAAAACAAAACAAGCAAGATAAAATGTGTGGGGGTGGAGGGGAAAAAGAGAAAGAGGAAAGAGAAAGAGAATGTAGTCTAAAAATAAGTCTGAAGTTTGCCCTTTTTAAAGGCAATCTTTGATACTTTGGAAGGCTTAATATCATTCAGAAAATTTGGACTGTACTTTTCATCTTGCTTAATTTAAGTTTCATTTGGGTGAGGAATTTGAGCACCACAGCTAGAAGGGATTTCTTTCTCTACTAAAATTCTAAAAGAGGAATTATCTGCAACATTTATTGAATACTGACAGTAAATTTCCTTGTCACTTTATATATCTAATCTTTCAAAATAGTTTCAAAGACCTGGAGGGTAAACATATTTGTCTCTTTGCACCTTCATATGCATAGCAGATCATTTAGTGTGGAGTGGCAAGGAATTAATATGGGTTCTTAATGCTAAAATAATCATGCAATCCCTTGTTGTATGCATACCTTCTAAGTTTTGCTGCATATAGAATAAAATGTAACTTTTTTCTGAATTTCTATTAAACTCCCAGTTTAACCTGGATCATTTAGTATACAACATTCAAAATCGATAATACACACTGTTAAGAGAGTTGATACTTTGGGGACCTATTCAAAGTCATGGAAAAGATGTGTGTGTTCAGAGAGGTGAACTTAGCCAGTCCATTAAAAAGTAAATGGAAAAACCTTAGAGTAGGTCCCTGTTCTAGCCAAAATAATCTCAACTATCACTCACCTTTTGGGCAAATATCCGTGCAAGGTTTACACATTTTAATCCCATTTTCTTCTACTTCCATCTTGGAACTAGGGCAGGCACGCACACAAGAACTGGAATCCACCACAAAGTTATCTGATTTGAAAAAAAACGGTGAAATTAGCAATGTTGATGGTCAGAAAACAAGTTTAAAACAAAGTACTTTAGGGCTTGACAATGATTAGCATCACTGATAGTATACATGTCTGTCTCTTTCCCTAAAACAACTCTGTTTAAATATCTCAACCTGAAATAGAATCTACGAACATCCACATCTAATCCAAGGGCAGCGTGTGTTAACAACAGTTAGTCCCTGCTTGACTACAGCACCGCAACCTGAATTGCCCCCAAGATAGAGTGAATTTCTTTTATAGACTTAGGAAACTACATGACATTTAGTTTGTGTTTTTCAATAGTTCCACTTCATTTCACGTCATGATGCAAGTCTGAAGTCTAAAAATACTTCAAGTTACACGAAACACAAATGAAGCTGACGTTGAATTGCCTTGGATCAAGAGAGTGCACTTCATATCCAGGAGGAAATGTTTAAAATGTGTTCTGTCTTTCAGTGGAATGCCATAGAAACTGTTCCATAGTTTTATATGAAGAAACAAAATGGAATTTGAAAGGCAGCATTTTAGGAAAGGCATACTACATAAATCAGGAATGTCTGATTACCTGATACATTGGTAAAATATTTATGGCTCCAGTGATCTGAAATATGCCAGGACATTGCCTGCCCCCCAGTAAAGAACCCAGATAACTGCATCTAGAGCCTCCCATAGTGAAGGGAAAACACAACGCCTGCTAGGCCACTTTATATATATATATAAGTTTTTTTAATTTATTTATTCAACACAGAGAGAGAGAGTGAGAGAGTGAACACAAGCGCAGGGAAGTTGGAAAGGGAGAAGCAGGCTCCCCACGGAGCAGGGAGCCTGATGGGGGGCTCGATCCCAGGACACCAGGATTATGACCTGAGCCGAAGGCAAATGCCCCACAACTGAGCCATCCAGGCGCGCCAAGGCCACTTTATATTTTAAAGGCAGTATATTCCCTGTCAGGGCATACTGCTTCTGGCCTAATATTCAGTGGTATGGAACGCTTCTGGCCTTGAAGGGGTCTCAGATCAAGAAAGGCATATGGTACAGGTCCAGTCTGGGATGCAAGCATTTCTGCTACTTGGGTCACAAAATCCAAGAGGTGGGGTGCCTGGGGGGCTCAGTTGGTTAAGCTTCCAACTCTTGGCTTCACCTCAGGTCATGATCTTGGGGTCCTGGGATCCAGCCCTGAGTCGGGTTCCCATGCTCAGAGTGGAGTCTGTTTGAGATTCTTCCCCCTCACTCTCCCTCCTTCTCTGCTCCTCCATGCTCACACTCTCTTTCTCTCCCTCAAACAAACAAACCAACCCGTGAGGCTTTATGATCTTAGGAGTGTCTGTGGTAGGAAGTATGCCATATGGAGTTATGGCAAGTCCCAGCTGGAAAATCCTATCAGAGACCTCTAGGATTCTAGAGCTAATCCATGCCATCTGTAGCATAGAATTATACACCTTTTAATAAACAGCTCCTTAGATGTTTCTGGGTCCTGATAGAGATAGAGCACCTAACCATGGGTCATTGATGGATTTTATAGTCAGAATCGCCCACCACACATCAGGTTTTATTTGAACCATGATGTTATAATGTTGGGCAGGTCCAACAGAATCCACTGTTAAGATGGAGGCAATGCATTTAAGACTGGATATGAGTCCAGGCAGAGGCACACGTAAACTGCATAAGCAGATAGCCCAGACTCCTTGTGCTGGTACCTCTCCCTCGGCTCATACCTGTGGCTGCATGGGGACCAAGAGAGGGCACTTGTGACAAGCTAACAGAGGGAGGACAAAAACTAAGTTTGGTATGTGGGTGCAAGCAGCTCAAAATGAACGACAGCTGCCCTGCAGCCTCACTGAGGAGGGGACTAGAAAGATGGTAACGAGGAAAAAAATCCTACCAGTGGGCATGGTTCTGGGTAGTTCAAATGATCATTTACTTTGTATGAAAGTGACCTGAGCTTAGAATAAATGTGGATTCATGAGCAGTGGCTTGCCCTGGAGGAAGAAATATTGGAAAATCTGGGATTGAAGGGAGTCTGGGGTAGAGGGATGTGTATGGATTCTTCGGGGTGGGCACAGTGCAATCATTACATTCCCAGTTATCCACCAGGGGGCATCCGCCACAAAAAAGGTACATTGCGGAGAATGCATCACAGCCTGTTCCTTTCCTGTTCTTCATCCTTCCTGTCTTCCTTCTGAGAACACTCCTTCTTAACAACCTAATCTCTTTCTGAGGCAAACTCAACCTGCAACGAGTGAATGTACTGTATATTATGTAACCATCCTTTCTGCAAGGTCTTTACAGGAATGCCCCATATTTAAACACTTCTACATTTTTGTAGTAATATATGCTAAGTGGAGTAAATACAAATTATAAAGACCCTCATATCAGTTAGGTTCAGATTTTGCAGCCAAATGAGTTTCAAAAAATATTTATCTGGAGTTTTTGAATTTTAGAATTCAAGATTAAGGATTGTAGAGCAGTATTTAGGAACTAAATGTCTTTGTTTTTCCAAGATAGCTGCAGTTTAACAAACCATGCCTTATGAGCAGGGCCCTTCAAATATTTGAAATTTACATAGATAAATACCAAAGTGTTTTAAATTAGCCTGTAATTTGTTGACCTAAACTATTCTAAGAAATGAAATTTAGGAGTTACCATATCTAGAAACTGGGCGTGTAATTTCACAAAATAGTTCTCAGTGTTTAGCCACTTGCCACAAGTTAGGTGTTGAAAGCTTGTATGCATAATTATTCTTTTAACCAATATAAAAATATTTAATAATAATGACTAAAATTGTCATTGTTTCCAAAGACTTGTTTTTATATGCTATCCCTCTGATTCTTATTCCCCATCCTTTTGATCATTATAATAACTCTGGGAGAGAAGAGAACTATGATTATTACCAGCCACATCTTAAAGAGGAGAATACAGAAAACTAAATAGTTCATTTAAAATCACATGAGTAATACGTGGGCAAAGCCAGAACCCACAGCCACTCTCATCCCATGTCCTTTATACTTCTTACTCAGTCACAGGCACAAAATGAAGAAAACCATAATAGTGGTATGCAGTAGCTTGTAAAACCTTCTTCTTTTAAATGAATATATGGACAAATGTAGTGATTTTTTTTTCCAGTTTTTCCAGTAGATAGAACAATGAAGAAATAATGTCCCATCACTCATTCCAAGCAAAGAAACTGACTGGAGCAAATATGAAGACATATATTTACTGAATTATTGATGAAAGCTAAACTGTTTGAATCCTCAGGATGAGCTGTCAATTTTGTAAAGACCTCTAAACATGCCCTTCACATCTACAGTTATTGTTTAAGATTAGATTTGATATTAAAACTATAGTTCTATACATTCTATTACAAATAAGTAATCAGAAAGGATATTAGGTAAACATTCATTGTGATTAGAAGCAGACCTCATTCAGTACAAAGCTTGCTCCTACTTAACTAATCACTTTTCTGAGAAACAGCATCATGTACAAAAACACTGAGGAATAGTGAAAACAGTAAGTTTAGAAGGCAATGACACTACACTCTAACCTCAAACATGTCACTCCTTTGCTGAGACTTTGGACCAATCCCTTGAATTTTTTGAACTGTAATTTCCTTATTAGTGAAATGGTAAGCAACAGTACCCATATCCAAGTAATTCACGATAATGTTGCAAATTTTAAATTACAATAAATGTATATGATTTTGTGGGTGTGTTTTTAAATGATGATCTAATTAATTTGGTTATTCTTATCTTGTTACTTACGTGGGCACTTCTTGACACAAAATGCTCCATATGTATACTTTGCATTGAAGTTATGCTCCAGTTGAAAGGTGGTTGGATTGTAGACAAAAGTTTGGGGACACTGAGTAACACATGCTCCGCTGTCATTGAAATTCATGCAGGCCTACAACATAGCAAATATTAATTTCATTTAAGAATACCCTTCATAATACTCGTTAAAGGAACCCTGCTCTAATAGCTGTGTAAGAAGGATGTGTTCTTTACTTATTATATTCATATTTATATAAAACATATGTGTATGTTCTATTCTTATATTTCATAAAAAATATAAAGTTTGACAGCTTTATAGTCAGTAAGTACTTATTTTTAAGTTCAAATTTGTATTGAACGTCGAAAATTTTACAAAGCTGTTTTTCCAATGTCAATGAATATACAATCTATACAAAGATATTGATATTCAACTTACCTAGTCTCTACCCAGTAATCTCCAAACTAATAATTGATCTAAATTATTAAAATTAGCTAATAGTGAAAAATTATTTCAACTCACACCATTCAAAGGGTTTATGTTGAGTCTTAGAGTCTGGCACTAACACCTAACTCCCCAAATCTATAGTCTAGATTTTCCTTAAAGCTGGTGTTTGGAAAAGTTCAGTGCTGTAAGTGACATGGTAAGCACATTCATCGCCGTTGTATAGTAGGAAAACATTGTGATAGATATTTAAACTGGACTTGAGGAAAAGGCTCTGGCAGGTGACCAGTCAAGTGTAAATATGGAGTATGTAATGCCAAAATGAAGAGAAGCAGCCTCTACTTAGCTCACAATTAAATAATGTGCTGCCATTTCCTATATGGTCTTTTTCATAATGCCACACCATTCAGTGAAAGCCATCAAGTTCAAACAAAACAATTTGTTTCTGCTGACTTATATATTTGTATTGAGACCTCAATTTGTTAATATGTTCAAATGCGTTTGAGAAGAATTAAAAAACAATTTTACCACCTGAGAGGTATTTGGTATAAAAATAGAATGTATGTCTACGTACATAAAGCATGGCTTTCAAAAGAATTGATAAACTAATTCTCTTAATTAAACAGCTTAAACCTTCATAGGAATAACTGAAGCCTTGGAAAGTAAGCTAATATGCACTCAAGCTATATTTTATATTTCATCATAAATTGTATGTATGGTTATTTTTAAAAATTTTTTTATTGTTATGTTAATCACCATATATTACATAATTTGTTTTGGTGTAGTGTTCCATGATTCATTGTTTGTTCATAACACCCAGTGCTCCATGCAGAATGTGCCCTCTTTAATACCCATCACCAGGCTAACCCATCCCCCTACCCTCCTCCCCTCTAGAACCCTCAGTTTGTTTTTCAGAGTCCATCATCTCTCCTGGTTCGTCTCCCCCTCTGACTTACTCCCCTTCATTCTTCCTCTCCTGCTATCTTCTTCTTTTTCTTTTTTCTTAAAATATGTTGCGTTATTTGTTTCAGAACTACAGATCTGTGATTCAACAGTCTTACACAATTCACAGCGCTCACCGTAGCACATATGTATGGTTATTAATAAGCACTAATTCATTGTTTCCTCAAAACATTTTCTTCATCAACTGTTGTTTTAGTAAGCACTTTATCACCAACATGACAATTCCCTGATGATAGTCTACTAGATGCATAATCAGAACGAGACTCACTCATGATACATTATTCACTAAGATGACATTTTCCAGGAAGAATCTATTAAAAAGCAATCTACAAAACTCAGTAAGTTTTAATTTATGGCTATAAAACTTCATGTGTCCTCATAATTGCTTTACGAACATACTTTAGGCAGGTTGTGCACAGATTACTTGGCAACAAAGGGACATAAACTAAAGGAATCAAACAAATTTACCTTCCAGACAGAATGCAAAACAACGTAACTTACACCAAGGCCTCAGTCTGGCATTCTTGAACATTCTGTACCAAATGCCAAAGTGGAGTCATTGGACCATCCCATAAAAGTAATGAAATGAGGATTCTGAGACTCACCCAACACTCTGTTCATTATGATAATGGAACCATGAAAACAAATGCAATGAAAAACTTCTAAGTAAAAGTTATGGCTATTGTTGGTGTTTCTTGTTCTTGGTGTTACTGTTTTGGAATTGTTAATTGTTAACACCTGCTCAGCATCCTCGACATCAAGCTTTACCTTGTGTCTGGTGATAGGCAAGGGAAAAGGTCTCACTTCAAGGCCTGCTAAAGCATCTTCCTTAAATTTTTAAAATGTTTCTTTTCTTCTTCACTACTCATTTCTGCAATAGATACTTTTGTTTCACTATAGGATTAGGGTCAACAAATAAAGTTTCTTGTGATGTTAAGAAAATTAAGAAATTGTCTATGTCATAAGAGTTTTTATTTATGTTTTGCTTATTTTCAGAATTAAGTGTCAATTTGAAAAAATATTCAGTTCTAAATATATATGTGTATTCTTTGGATATTTCAAAATGGGAAAAAGAAAATGAATTTCTGTGTTCATTTTTAACAGCAAAAACAATTTCTTATTTTATGATTTTTAGCTTAAAATGAAAATAATGTCTGTATATGAAATTGTGTTAACTATAGCTCACAGAACTGTTTGCATTCAAAAGAACAGAAAGAACTGTATCAGGTATATTAAAATGTAATTAAAACATGTTCTCAACATGTTTAGGAAAGTGTCCTTTTCTAAAATAAAAATCACACAGATTAGCATATAAATTGCTTTAAGCATGCATTTGTAAATCTTATAAATTATGAATAAATTAACTTGTAAACAAAATAAACTGGGAAATAGTTAAATTTAAGAATAATCTTGAAATCTATGGTTATATCCTTAAAATTTAAATCCAAGAAATAAAATTCAAGAGCCCCCACTCAGAAAACTCAATTATGCAACAACATAAACAGGTAATCAATGTAAATTTTGGAAGGATGCTATTAGCTTTTAAAAAGATATCTCAATATATTCCTCTTCACATTCTCTAATACATCTCACCTGTATTGTAAATTACATCAGAAAGACATAATTCATGTACAAGAACAGAACAATCCTAGTCAATCAATAGCCACCGAGTGAGGGAATGAATTATAGGAAGGCAGAGCATCTTTCTTAATCCTAAAATGAGTAATGGTTAAAATGGTTAAACTTGATCTTATTTTAATGTTAAAGAGTCAATGTGCCTAAGTCCAGCCAGGAAGGATGGAGATGGGAAAAGTAGAAGCTCCAAGACTTACAAAGCAGTCTGTGTCCTTCGGTCCTGAGCAGCCCCCAGCACATTCTCTATGACAACAGTCACTGACATAGGGCCCATAGCACCTGCCATCACACTGTTCTGCACACACCGTCCTTGTCACTGTGGAAGACAGAGATGGGACCCTGATCAGTCAGTCACCAAGAGAAACTTCTAAGGTGCTTTGGAGTAGCTGAGAAAAGCTGAGCTCTCACATAACAATACTCAACCCACTGTGGATTCAGTTCAGCTAACATTTACCAAATGAAGTCTGCAATAGGTCAAAATCACTGTACAAAAACCTTCAAAATTAATACATACACTTGTTTTTATTTTCTTTCTTGTTCCAGCAAACACTTACAGTGTTTTTCAAAACAATCATACGACTTAGCAGGAAAGAATCAAATTTGAAATAATTGAATGAGGCATTTTGGCAGGCTGCAAAAGATGGAGTCTATCCACAAGGGGCACAGCAAGGTTTTATGACAGAAGATATCCCCGGAAATAATCTAAGCCTTTTAGAGTCAATGAAAAAAGGGAAACAAACTTTTACATGATTCACATTATATCTTACATGATTCATATCAAGCAGATAGATAAATATAGATACAGATACATGTATAGATAACTGGTCAGCAGAAGCATAACTGTTTCTTTTCTTGAGATATAAGTGAAATTTCTACCAAGTTTCCTGTGTAAGGAAGAGAGCAACATCCTCAAAAGAAGGAAAGAAGGAAGGGAAGGAGGGAGGGAGGGAGGGATGTGGCAGAGAGAGACACATTCATAGTAGATGCAACACAAATTTCCATTGGTCTTTTCTTATAATGTCCTTTGATCCAAGCTGACAGCACTATATTAGGGTATGCTTTAGTAAAAATCGGTGCTATAGGCTAGGCATCAAAATTACACCTTTGAGGGACACTTATTTCACTTATTCCAAAGAGATATTTTTAAAGTATTTAGAGAAATGAATCTTACAGAAGATATATAGCACATCACATCTTGGCTTCTTTATTTCCACTTCAGTCTGATCTCTTTCCATCTCTCTGACTCGTTCTTCAAAGCTTCCTTCAACTGCTACTATAGCAGCATCTGTCCTTCAAATGACAGCATTCCCCAGAGTTGGTCTTGTCAATTTCTTTGGGTTATGGGCTCATGCCTAGATGAAATCATCCATCCCCTTTGCATACTACCTATAGGTAGATGACATCAGATCCAAATCTGAATTTTATATTGAGCAGTGGTATGTTACCAGCTGCCTGCAGAAGACCCCACTTAGATATCCCAAGATGTATAATAAGGAACGTAACTCACTTTCCCATCTCTACCAATCAGGCATATCTCTCTTTGTTCCCTTCTCTTGATTATTGGTAGCACCATCCACTCAGTAGCTTAGCTAAAAATTGGGGATGTGTTTTCTCTTTCTCCTTTCCCCTCACCCTCGCTTCTCATACCTAACAAAATTATCAAATAAAATTGCCAAGTAATATTCCTCATTACCATCCCACCTCTCTACTCCAACTTTGTTTGGGAAAGTAATGTCTAAATGATGACATAGCCTTCTAAAAGGTTTCTCAGATCCCAATTAATCCTCCATGCTGCTCTAAAAGCAATGACTTGAAAATACAAGCCACTGCCTATAAATCAGTGCTGTTTTGCAAATAAAACTTGTCATCCCTGTACTAAAGGAGTAAACCCTGAGCAAGGGATAAAAGTCCTTCAACAATTAAACCATCTCTATCTTTATTAGCATTTCTCATTGTGCTTCTCATATCCAGCAACACACAATCACCACTTGTGATTCCTGATTTCTTGTATCATTCCCAATTTTGATTCTCATTGCCTTTTTATAATGCTTTCCTTCATGCTAAAAACCCTTCCTGTCTTCTCTGCCTAGCAAATACTCATCTATAACATCCAGTTCAGATGTCACTTTCTTTCTGAAAACTCCAGATATAGCTCTAGGATGAGTTAGTTTATCACTGTTTCTTCTGAACAAGGGAGAAAGTTAATGCAGATTCCATGTGGTCTGACGGTCTAGGCCCAAATCCAAACTCTATTCTTGTGATATGGTCAAGTTATTGAATATCTCTGTATTTCACTTTATCTGCTTTAAGATGGATTTGGTATTTGTATCTATCTAATGGGACTGAAGGTAAACAGAGGTATAGGTGTAAAGTGCTTACCATGGCCCCTGTTAATAGTGGTCAGCAAATGTTACATATTATTATTTCACTTGTCATAATACATCGTATTTTTTTTATGTTTGCTTCCCCTACTAAACTATTAGAGTAGTTTTTTGAAGTCCATTGTCTTATTTATGTTTTTATCCTTGGTGACTGGTAGTGTTTGGCATTCAGTATATAAGAAAGTAAGTATCCTCTCCAACTAAATAAATCATATATTGCCAATTCAATGAAAGTTATTTGTTGACTGCCTAATGCACATATTAAAGAAAAAAAATATGCAGGGGTGCCTGAGTGGCACAGTCGGTTAAACATCCAACTCTCGGTTTCAGCTTAAGTCGTGATCTCAGAGTCATGAGATCTCAGTGCGGAGTCTGCTTAAGACTTTCTTTCCCTCAGCCCTTTCCCACTATGCTTGCTCTCTCTCTCTCTAAAGTAAATAAAAATAAATATTAAAAAAATGCAGAGAGTTAAAGACATAGGGCACTAAAAAATGTAAATAGACAAATATTAAAATACCAAGAAACAGAGCATATCAAAATCCAAATAACAGAATTATTGTTAGTGTCTATTACTAGATTTAAATGCTCCTTAAATTCTGCTATTGATTGCTTCACAATTCCATATTTCCACTTGGATCCTTTTTAATTGAACATGATTATGATATTCATAAAATAGTGCATAATGTTTAAATATGAACTATATTCTTCTATTAGACATGATTATATTCCTACCTATGTAAGTGCAATCAATACAAACATCAAATAGAGTTTAAGCAAAAACAACACTTGGACTCACTCTGTCTTGTTTTTATTTTGTAAAAATAAAGTTATAAGATACTTCTTATCATCTTATAGAAGATTTTGAAAAAGACAAATTTTAAGTCCGGATTTGTGAGTGCATTTTTTTTAAGATTTTATTTATTTATTTGAGAGCGAGAGAGAGGAGGGAGAGGGAGAGAGAATCTGAAGCAGACTCTGAGCTGAGCACAGAGCCCAATCTGGGGCTTGATCCCATGATCAAGAGATAAGGACCGAGAGTCAGATGCTTAATGGACTGAGCCACCCCGGTGCCCCTGTCAGGGCATATTTTGTATTTGCAATTTGGGTAACATTAAATTTTGAAATAATTTCTTTTGTATTTTAATAGAAATTTCTACATAGGGGGCACCTGGGTGGTTCCCTTCATTAAATGTCTGACTCTTGATTTCTGCTTAAGTCACGAACTCAGGGTCGTGGGATCAAGCCCCACCTTGGGCTACCACTTCTCGGGGAGTCTCGAGATTCTCTCGCTCCCCTTCTGCCCCTCCCCAGGTGCATATACACTCGTACTCGCGCTCTTCCTCTCTCTCAAATAAATAAATACATCTTTTTTTTTTAAGAAATTTCTACATAGTAAATCAATTTGGTCTGTCCATTTACCTTCTTTCGGTTTTTGCTCAAATCTCATTTTCCCAGTGAAGCCAACTTCTGTTTAATCCTGAATCCTTTCCAAACTACTGATTCTTGATGAACACTCCTCTTCTTTTTTTCTTTCTTTATCTTTCTCTCTCTCTCTCTTCCTCCCTCCCCTTCCTTCCTTCCTTTCATCTTTCCTTTCTTACTCCATCTGACATATTTTACAACTCACTTATTACACAGTGTGTTTGTTGGTGTATTCCAAAGTCTAGAACTCTACCTGTCACCATGTAATTTTAATTTATATTTTATATACATTATACATACACAGTACATATACATATACACTACATATATGAAATATACCCAAACAAATTATATCCACTTTTTAACTATTCATATTCCTACATTGGGCTTACATTGATGTTCCTATCTTTCATCCAAGTAGTATATTTATTTAGATATTCTACTTACTAATTCATACTATAAAAAGGAAACACTTTTAATAGACACTTTTTTAAAAAAATAAAATCATATATAATTCCTCTCTTCCGGATTTAAAAAGGCTTTTTTGATGCGCCAAAGTTGCTAATTGAAATAGCAGACATATGTTAAGTAAACACATTACTAGATTTGAAGTCAGTGTTATCATAGAACAGTCTATTTACTGGCTTTAAGTTGACAGGATTTGCTCAGCCGGAAATAGCACAAAGTAAGCATTAATAGTTTATAAGTCACACCCTATTTTAATCTTAGACACATATGTCTAAGTGTTCATTTCTAACTCTATGGTGGTTCAGGGTACTATACAAAATGTTTCAGTTTCTCTTCATTTATATACTTTGGTCTTTCCTATCAAATTAGAAAATTAATGTAGATAATATTTATAAAGGTAATTAACCATTAATTTATTTTAAAATTATTTATTAGATGTTCACATTAAGATCAATTCTCTGTGACTATACTATTTAAATATGATAATGTTTTAAAATATAATCTAACAGTATAATCTTATGTTCGATAATAATTATGCTCTGAAACTTTAAAAATATGTACATTAAATTATTCATTCATATGTGTTGAGTCAACTGTAAATTGTTCAAAATAGCAATTTTGTCTATCTAGTGATCACATATCACATATTTTTTCAGGACACTTTGATCTTAGATATGCCATTACATTTCAAGAATATACAAAGAAACATCTCTCTAAAGTCATTACTTTTCAAAATTTTGACTTAAGATATTAATGAGAATTATGGGATTTGCTTCAAAAGCAGTCTATAATTCACTTTAAAAGTAAAAAAGTAAGATACATTCAAAACTAAAAATAGCACTTTTTGCTATCACTGTTTTCACATGCCTTAATTCCAATTGAAAGTTTAGTAAGCATGAAATACATTTAGAACTGTCTGCTTGACAGGTAACAATATAAAGAGCTAAAAAAACAAATAAGCTTAATCTCTAAATAGTGAGGTGACACAGTTAAGAAATATTTCTTCACATTGTTACGTGAGATTTATTTTTTAAAAAGAAAACAT